AACAGACATCAGAGTGTAATCATGTAGAACAATTAAAGCACTTTGACCTTGCCCAACTCTTATGTACAGATAGAAGGTAAGTGATTTGTTTTTCTCCTGATGTCACACATGGCTGTAAGAAAGGACACCTATCAATGTTGTTTTGATTGGTGTAGCTAAAGATCTGTTAATATTTTCAGAGCGAAATTCAGTCGACGCTGCCTAAAGAAGACAAAAGAATCAGAATCATACTACCTTTCTGTTTGCACGTTATCTGATAGGAAGAGCCTTTACAAACAGGCGCATAAGTAGCAAGGTAAAGCCTGAATGAAAACCACGTCACCTTTGGGGTAGCCAAACTGAAATCTGAGCTAACAACAGAAAATGGCTTTTCATGGAAGTTCAATAGCGTAGGGTAGAAAGAGGCCAAATATGTCTGTAACAAATATCTAGCTAAGAATATGGAAAGGATGGATCTTAATAGAGCTGAATAAAAAACCAACATAGGTTGTGTCCTACAAGTAACGTAGCATTAGCAATACTGAATGTCTGAATAACTTTCAAGCCATACTGAGCTGCTTTTATTGAGAACCAATTCAAACACAATGAAAACATATCCTGACAGATGTCCTGGAGTTCTGTAAGAGGATTTGCTCAATCTCAAGGGATGGCAACTGGCCATCAAGAACTTTGGATCTGGAGGTGGTGCAGTGAGATCGGTTTTTGGCAGTCCACAGGTCAGAGCAGAGATGGGCGTCCGTGTTAAGCTGATTAGCCAAAACTGGCGCGGACAGCGTGAAACTGTAACAGTGTGGTGGCTCTGTTTCTTTTGGTTTTGGAAATACTTCAGGAATCAAAGCAGTGCGAAGAAAGTAAGCAGGTCTGTGCTACCCTGGAGAAGGATCCTGGCCTCAGGCCTCGGGTGATAACAGTAAGATCTTGAAGCACTTCAGAATTACCGCTCTTTTGACTAGAAGCTGGTGTAATGGCCACATCAGGAGAGGTTGTCAATAATTTTGGCAGCAAGCATCTGCTCTCCCCAGGTCACAGCTGCTAACCGTATGCTTTGTAGCAATGCTACAAAGGTGCTCGATTGCCAGCTAATCCGCAGACACAGAAGATGCTCAAGCTGATAGGTTTAACTAGAGCAGTAAGTCAGACACACAGTCAGTAAGACACACCTCTAACACTGGAGTCATTTTTGGACAGAAGAGTAGTCCTCAACTCTGAACACAACCTAGGACCGCCCTAGTTACACCAGCCGTTGTAGTACAGATGCTGTCTGTTGAATTATTCTATTCTATTGCATAAATTAATTCCTTAAGAACATATATAAAGCCTAAGGAAAAAGGAAGAGCTCTTCAGAAAAGCATTGCAAAAGTTCAAGGGACGATCTGAGACATTTAGTTGCTGACCCAAAAAAAGAAGATAATGCCAGCATTCATATTCCTATACGGAAGCCTCCAAGATGACTCTGCAATACTTAGGTGGATCACAGCTACGGCCTCCTCCTTTTGACAGTCCCTTCAGAAACCATGCCCCGTGTGAGGGAAGACTAGAAATAAATGCAATTCACTCCATCAGCCTGGGCTTTTGTGCATGTGCTCCCTCAAGTATTCATACACAACTATATACACATTTCACCTTTTTTAAACTAGCCACTTCTTACCAACCAATTAATTCAATCATGTCACAGTTCAGTGTTTGTTGTATCCAAACACTCTCAACACGCAATTTCATGTAGAACCTGATCTGAACAGTCTGCTAGATTAGAAAAAGACATCGTCTTTAGTACAGCAATTGTGCAGAAGAGCACGTATACACAAGAGCACGTAACTGCTTGAATGATCAGGCTGTACATCTTTAGCAAAATGGCATTTCTTTAAGGGTGAAAAGTGAAAAGTGTTTCATAAGAAACACAGGGAAGATGAGTCAGTTAACATGTAGGTATCTTCTTTTGTCTTTCTTTGACCTTTGAATATATGAGCTTGGAATTTCAGTGTTCCCTTGATGTAATTTTTTCATGAAGCAATAGGAAAAGAAAAACGCAGACTTTACTGGTCAGCCATACTTCCCAAAAGGCCTACACAAACCCCAAGAAATACATAATTTTTTTTCTGGCATTTTTCTTCTTCTGGAGGTGGAGATAGAGATAGGGAGAGAGAGAGAAAGAGAAAGGGGGGTGGTAAAGAGAGAGAGGGGGGTGTATGTAGCATTATGAGAAGCAAATGGATTTCAAATATTGGCTCTTTTTATAAACATTGACAAAAAATGTAATGAATTTGACAAAGAATTTGACAGTCTTTCACCTCACAGAAAGAAACACAATTGTAAGACTTTTCACCTATTCAAACTGGGGATAGAAGGTCCCCTTTTCGGCAGAGAGGGCCAGACATAATTGAAACAATTTACCTAAGGCCATGGTAGACCAGCCTTCGTTTTCAGTCTTTGTGAGAAGCTTGATTTTCTAAAAACTGAACGGAAATTATGAATGTCAAGCAGAAATTGAAGCATGACTTTTCTGGGGTACATGTCCTACAGAAACTCAAACAGCATGAACACCATGTTCTTTTCCAGCCTCAAAAACCCATGAATGATTCCAGATCTCGGGCTGGGGCTCCAAACACTGGCAATCCTTCAGGATATGAAGCACAGGGCACACAGTCACCCTTCATCTCTGTTCACCCATGTCCACACTGATTTCTTTCTTTCCCCAGTCTGCTGCTTGTAAAATGGAATTTCTTATTGTTTGAAGTGCTAGAGATGGGCATATAGGGGAAGGCATCATAGTGATGGCTCATCCCTCTTCAGGCGGCCTACAGTGTATCTGGGATAACGTACCCAAAAACGTTCTGGCACCTTTGCTATTTCTCCTTTTTGAAGTACGGCAAGAGATATTAATTTCTATTTAGGAAAAACATAAAACTTAAAATATTTTACCCTTTTATTTTGAAAGTATTTGGAATTTGCTGGGGGCTGCAGAAACCATCAGGAGCCTATATTTTTCAAGGTGAGACAGAAAGGCAGACTTTCACAGTACTGACAATGATGCGGTACAGAGATGGTGGGAAAGCGCAAGGGTTTGAAGCAGGCTGAGAGACTGCTCGTCTATCCGTTGCAAAGCTTTCCTTGTTGTCTGATTCCAGACGAGCACTCTGTGGTTTACCCTTTTCATCCTCTTCACTGTACAGAACCTCATAATTTTTCCCATTCGCATATGACAGCTTGTTTATTCTGACCTTGTTGACTTACTCATCTGATGTTTTCCTTCCTCGCTACAATCACGCTTTACTTCCAGCATGCACAGCAATCACTGATCCTGGGAAGAAAGTCTGAAGCGCAAATGAACATCTATACTTCAGTCTAACGCTCACTGTATGGCCACAACAAACCTGAATCTAGTTTAAAACCTATAAAGATATATTTGAAAGGAAAAATCTGAAGTATCTAGATCTAAAGAGAGATGCCTGTTGGTGGTTGTAAAAGCATCCTTTGATAACTCCGAAGACAATAGGGATGAAGAGAGGTTTTTTCCCTACTCGTTGATGGAGTTAAGGAAAAAAGTTACCTTTCTTAATACAAATTAATCAAAACAGCTTGGAGGCAAGACAAACATGAAAACTATGGTCCTAGCACACAAGATAAAAGCCTCTTCACTGCAGTTATTTACTAGCTCTTTGTTCTCTTACTTAATATCTAATTGCCCCATGCAGCTGACACAACAGACCTATTGGAGATTAACATCCCTTTTTGAGCTACAATAACGTTGTGTTAGAACAGAATTAGTTTGCATATTTCGTAAGTAAAAAATTAGTGCATAGCTAGCACCTTTCCTAATTATTTGCTTCATTAATGGAAGTACTACTATATTACTAACATTCAGGGAATATTTTTAGTGCATAATAAAATACATGATAAAAATGCAAGCAGCCGGGTTTTTGCTGAAAGCCAATAAAAAGTCAATTCTTATCAAAGCTGGTACCATATCCGACAATGTCAGACTGAAACTATACGCATTAATTTTGGAATGTAGAACGAATGCAGGACCTTTGTAATAAACACTGAAAATTATTAGCAAGTCAATATTTTGTTGATCATGGAGGTTATCATGGAGGGGGACATTTCATAAGTCCCAATTTAAAGATCATAACCATACACTTTAAAGATCTGAATGGGAATTTATACTGTTCCAAGTGTTCTTTTGAATGGTGATTTCTAAGAAAAATTTGTGACTTGGACCACTGGTTGTATTCCACAGTATTCAGCAAATCTGTCACTTGCATCTATTCTGTACTGGGTTGTGCTACTTATCATCTGCGATTCTGGTTTTGTGAGCTTTATAGGGAAAAAAATAGTAGTACGTACATTGGTAATGACATGCTCCATTACAGAGTAAAATGTCCAGAGTGCATTCATTTCAAGAAAATGAAACGTAAATGTACAAAGCAGAAAGGAAATCCATTTCAACTCTTAATCAAATTCAGTGGGATCAAACCTTGATAGTCCTCTACGAAAGAAGAGTTTTTATCCCAGCACGAGAGAATGGATGTTCATTTTTGTTTAAAGATTTTTTGACAGAACCTTCTTTGCACTCTGACAGAGTGCCTCAGTCAGTGCATTTAGATTTTTTTTTTTTTTTTTTTTTTTAAATATATCCTCCCAGACTCTCTCAGAGTTCTGGATTCTTTCATTGCATGAGCCTGATAAGTGCTCAACACCTCAGGCGAGAGCCATGCTTAACTCCAATCCATGCGAGGAGACACTTGCACTCTTGCGGGAATAGTGTTCTCTCCGTCATGCCATCAGGCAGTCAACGTTCTTGTCACACAGAAAAAGCCTTTCCACCCTTGTCAACAGAAAGCCAGCTGCTGACAAGCCCATTAAATGCCGTGCCACAGCACCCCTGGTTCATCCCTATCTTGGTTTTTAAATTCATACTAGCACAGCAATAGTAACTACTTTCTTTCATGACTCAAACAGAAAGCATAGGCATTATTGAGAAAATAAAATCTCCAGCATACCTGTTGAACAGTCCGAACCTGTCCACTGCGGCTCACAGCTGCAGAGTCCCGTGTCCAGGAGGAACGTCCCGTGCCCCGAGCACTGCTCCTGGCACGCGGGAAGCGCCGCCTCGCAGCTCACACCGCCCCAGCCCGGCGAGCAGTGACACTCCCCCTGAACGCACACCCCGTGGCCAGAGCACATCGGATCCAAGCAGTCCTCTGGAAAGCAGGGAATATACAACTCAGAGCATAATACTTGCACCTTTACAGTGGTTTCCTAGTGAAATTCAACATCAGGGATTCAGATTAATTTGGTGATTTTTGTGCAAGTACCCAAACTGAAACGATGTTAACAAACGCAAGGAAGAAACAGTCCATGCTAACATCTGTGCAAAGGTATAATCCGAAACAAGAAAAAAAGCAAGTAAGTAGACTGTTAGAGATCATACGATTCTGCTTGTCAGGGATACGGTCCTATTTTCAAAATGCAGATTCCCACAACAGATCTATTGGTCCAAGCCACTAAAAAATTTTGTGCTTCAGTTAGCGGAGCTGGGAAAGAACTGGAGCAATTAATAATTACGTCTACAATTGTGCATTGTGTTTCTATTTGGGAATTTGTGCTCTGTGTTTTATTTACATCTGGGAAAAGAAAGATTTATTCTTTCATCTTCCTGTAGAAAGCTATCTCTACAGCTGAAAATTTGACAGGAAAAAAAAAAAATGGCCATCCATTAACCCTGAGTAGTGAATCCCTGACTGAATGCTTGCTGTAAAAAAAAACCTTACACACTCATAAAAAGTGTGTGCTGGGCAATTGCAGATAATGAACAGATTCATAAAAGTCATAACGTACTGATGAACAATTTGCAAACGTACAAAGAGCTAAATTCGTTCTCAATTTGGATTAAACTATTCCTAGTGAGAAATTCAGGAGCTCTGTAGAAGAATTTAAATCAGCTGGTTAGTCGTCTACAATCAGGGTATTCTTTCATAAAGACCCAGCACTTCTCTAACGAGACAGATTTTAAGCAGAACACAGCCCACCTTCTCTGGAGGCTGCAGGCAGACTGCAGAGCTGAAGAGGATTTGGGGTTCGAGCATGGGAAACAAATAGCCAAAAGCCTATTCATTTTAGATCATGCTTCGGACTAATGTTAGGGAGGCACTTGGAAAGCTCTTGTATGTATTTTTCAAGTATCAGCACAAGTACTGTTTTAATAATTAAACTGTAAACTTGGCAAACAGTATTCTGTGCTGCACGAATGAAGAGATGCTCTCTGCATCAGCAAGGGAAGACTAAATACTTCAGACATAGAGATTAACAGCCTTCAGTTTATAGGACTTCTTGACCTAAGAATAAAGAAGGGATGCTTTATCTTTTGAGCTGTTATGCCACCAATTCAAGATCTTATTTCAAGATTTATGTTACATCTTTTTCAGCCTTCCAGGCTTGTGCACAGCACAATGTAATTCTGAAAGAGGGGAATCTGTGTTTCTGGCCAATGTATATCTCGCTAAGTATAGGATAAAAATCCTCAGCAATTTTCTCTCATTGTGAGACAGCTCTTCATTTTACTGATCTTTTAAAAATAATTGAGTGACTCCACAAATAGTTTACAAAGCATCCCTCAGTTTAGTAATGATAATCCGACAGGACAAATTCAAAGGACTCCCATAGCAACGAACACATATAGCTTCTGGTGGTCCCTGGATAGTACATCTGTTACTATGTCTGCTACGTTAACAATACTGCTGTAACACTGGACTCATATTTACACACAATAATGCAATCTGAATCCCTGACAGAATTACCACTGCTACTGCACAAGTTATGTTGTACAATACAGTAAACCGAACAGTCATGTCATGCACACAGTTACAATAAAAACCCACGGTACTTGGTTGCACAGGTTTGTTTCCTCCACCCTATTTCTACATAATTCCACCTTTTAAAAATTTTTAAATACATTTCTTACTTCAAAAATGCAACATTTTCACACTCTCAGTTTTCAACAGCTGTCTGAGTACATTTATCCCAATTATTTTTTTCAACCGTTTTGCACAATCACGTTATGGCGAGAAACAAAGCAACTGATAAGAGCAGTCAGCCCCTCACCAGCTGCAGGCTTGTTCGGCGTCACGGCCTCGGTGAGTAAATCTGTGTATTACTTGCTTTTTCCCATTTGGGTTTTCTTGGTTTTGTCCGTTTCTGAAACTATCAACAACTGAGTATGTCAGAAGCATCCTCTTGATCCTCCCTTTAAAAACCGTACCAGGTATGTCAAATCCGTCAAATCCATCCTGGACATTTTTCTGACTAGAGAATTCAAGCCACATAAAGAGCCGCCTCTGCACGCTACTCAAAAGAATTACCTAAAATCTATATAGTGGGAAGCAGAAAGTATGCTGTCACTAGCTTCAGGCTAAGGGGACTAGTGAAAAATCATCAAATCAGGGAAAGCAGGAAGAAGAGTTCTGCTTTCTGAGGCTATGCACAGGGGAAGAAAGTCAAAGCTGATGAGTTCTCTCAGAAATGCTAACAGGCAAACGACTCCTGCTTCTTTCTATAGGTGAGGGTGGAGATACATCAGTACTTGTCCTCAGAATTTCCCATTTTTTATTAGCCAAGCCTTAAAGGATGCCAGATTAGTACCCTGAACACAGGCTCAGAGCAAAAATGACATATGACAACAGAATTACATAATATGCTCTGCTAAACTGAAACTGTTTGCTGCTTTTTTTGGCTTTATATTGTCAGTATGTTCTTCGCAGAAAAATCTAAGATGTAACAGAATGAAGAAAGGGAAAAGCCTGATTACAATCTTCTGGTTACTTTGGAGAATCACCACATCGTATTTTGTTTCAATGATCCTCTGACTGCCTCAGCCCTAGTTTTTGGCCAAGTAAAGAAGTCTGCACAGGCTCTCTGACAGTGTGTGAGGGACTGAGGTTCCTGGCAGCAAGGAGGACTGGGGACGCCAGCCACTCTTCCTGAGAAAAGTATTTGGAGCCTGAGAGAAGAAAGGCGGAGACAAACAAATCACGATGGTCTCACAACTTTCACAAAAAAAAAGGGAATCCTTGCTTGCTGGGATGTTTTCCGGGAAACTTTCGGAGGATTGAGAATACACTGCTTGCTGAAAGGCAAAAACTTCTACCCAGTTCTGTTATCGCTCCTGAGATTCAATGGAGGGAGGGAACAGAAATCATCTGAGAACTAGAGTCCTCCTGGACCGAAAGAGAAACTGTATTTCAGAGGACTGCCCATGCTACAACTATTAGACAGTCTTACTAGACAATGTTAAATCATTTTAATCTTTTAGCATAAAAACGTGAATCTTGGGAATTATGTGATCAGCTTCCACTGACTGTCACTGAGTCCTGAATGCCTTTGTCTTTGATAATTTTCTACCTTAACATTACTTTCCATGAGACAGTAAAGGTGCTTTTGAGCAAAACAGTACTGCTTCACAGTAAGCTCCTCACACCCACATGAGTTCTTAACTGCCTTAAAACCCGTTTGGAGATTCAAGACAAAAATCAACCCCCCTAACTATAGAGAGGGAAACTTCACAAACCTTCTTCACAAATTTCTCCTTTGTAACCAGGGACACAGATGCAGATGCCCATGATACAAGTACCATGGCCAAAGCAGGTTGGATCAATACACTGTTCTTCTGGAACGTCACACTCTGGTCCTTTCCACCCATTTCGACACACACAGTGACCTTTCTCATATTCTCCATTTCCACTGCACAGCACCGGACAGGAATCTGAAGAAGGCAGATTGACCTTTTTATTGTATTTACATACCTACATAGATTTACATTTATTGCATTTATTTTTCTGTAAAATTGTTTTTCCAGTCCAGCCCCCCCGACCCTCCATTTGATTCAAGCGTTGTGGCAGGGTGAAATCTTTCGACTAGGTAGCGCAGCAGTAATACGACGTCCTCATCTCCTCAGTCTGCGTCAGTAGTATACCTTAATTTTGACCTGAAATGGGGTATCTTAGAATATTAAAAGAATCAGAGAATCATAGAATAGTTTGGGTTGGAAGGGACCTTTAAAGGTCACATAGCCCGACCTCCCTGCAATGAGCAGGGACATCTTCGACTAGATCAGGTTGCTCAGAGCCCCGTCCAACCTGACCCGGAATGTTTCCACAGATGGTGCATCAAAATAATTCCCTCCCCTTGACTGGCCACTGCAGAAAATTTGCAGTGATGCCTGCTTATGGTTTTCAGCGGGATTAATATTTCTTCCCTGTGAACTGAAGCAAAGAACCTGTCCTTTTCTTCCTTCTTCTAAGCAGACTTAACATTACTGAAGTTTTAGCCATTACTGATCTGCACGTAAACCAGCAATGTGGAAGCTTAGTTTTACAATCCCATATCAATTTCCGAGCCAATCAAGCTCTTAAAAAAAATAAAGTCAATCCTAGATTTGAGGAAACATTGGATAAACATCAGAACTTTCAGACATCATACGACCACAGAAGCATTTGACTGACATGAAATTTTCTCCAAAGAGAAACTGCTTGTAACTGTTAAATAACAGAAAACGTAATGCTAACACACTTATTAAAAGATGTATTTTATAATCACAGAGCAGATGCAAAGAGGGATGGAGGAATCTATTAACTCTGAAAGTCAGGGAGAGAGAAGTGGTTGTTGCATCTTAGCTCAAGTACAGCATAAAGAAACTTTCTACGTGAGCACTTGTACTGTATCTGCCATCTGGCTGGAAAAAGGAATTTAATCTCCTTTAATCACTTTGAATATTTGCAAGCCCAGCAGTCACACACCATAATCACGATCCCTGTCATGCCCTGTGGGTCACTTAATATAAGATTACCTTTTGCACAATCAGGACCAAGGAATCCCGGGAAACAGTGGCAGTGCCCTGAGATACATTCTCCATTCCCATTGCAGTTAGTAGAGCAGTCGTCCAGGATTTCTGTTTTTCAGAGAGTTATGCACAAAGGAAAATACAAATTAGTTGAACTTGAAATGAATGGTATCTTCGCCTCACTCTGCAGGACACATCTCAACGTACAAATAGGTGCAGAAGCAGTAAAAGGCCCATTTTCCTTCATAGGGGGCATAAACCAAAATTCCTGTCCAAGCAGCTTACAAATATTAGATTTTGTCTTGACAGCTTTGAGATAACAAGTGCATCATTTATATTACACCAAAAAGCTTTTAAAGTAAGTGTTCATGTAAAATTTACCACCATTAAAAGCACTGCAAGAACCAGAGTATTTCCTGAAAAATGTCCACCTTAAACACTTTCTTTTATTGCTGAAGTAATTTGTTTGAAACCTGTTTATAGAGTAAATTGCCTTCTATGGTGTTCATTTGAACCGTGTGAATTGAATTCCTTGGAGGAGGGTAGGATTTCCACTTCTATACAATCAGATGAAAAAATCTGATTTAAAAAAAAAAAATAGTCTTTTGTACAGTGATGAAACTCAATGCAATAAAGGACTAAGAACTAGGTTTGAAGAAAAAAACCCCACCTTCAATTCTGATCTTAAACTTGCCCATGTTTTATCACACAGCTTTGGCTAGTAAACCACTTAACCTCACACATCTGGGGACAGGCTCATATCTGAACATGGATTAGCTGTTTTTAATTTGCACACGTATTTCCTGCAGGAATTCAGTGGATTCACTGATTTATATGGGTTTTATGTGAAGAATACGAAGCAAATTCAAGGTTAAGATGCTCCCACGTGGAGCAGGTCACTGTCAGGCTAGCGCTAGAACCGAGGGTCTCTGCGGGTACTGTGCGGGGTGGGAGAGGGGCTGCAGAGCAGTGGGAACCGAGACTGTTTTATGGGCACATGCACTAATAGACATGGGGAAGTACCTCTGGCCATAGGAAGATGGGAAATATGATTCCTTTCCTGCAAAATAACAATGGCCGAGGAAAAAGAAGAAAACCAGATCCTTTTGAAGAGTATCTGTCCGCGGCAAGTGATATGGGAGGAAAAACTTTTCCCAAGAAAGGGCATACCATTGGAATATTTAATCTAATCAAATCTGATATACTTTTAAACTCAAACTTGTCAAAGGATGGAAAATAAGTATATCCTACAACTAATATGAATAAGTGAAATAAGCTTATTTTGATCTTATTTATGGGCACTCGGACAGAGAAGGATTGGTTCCCTTTGAAAATTCCCGCTGTTATTTAAAAGTGTTCTTTTTGGGTTACCAGTTTAATACCAAAGAACAGGCATTTGATATGCATCTCTTCATCAGATATCCCTAACCTGCACATGGATGTCTGCCTCCAAGTAAAAAAACCAGCTCGTTTTCAGAAGTAAGTTTTTTCACAGATATGCTGCTCATTATTAAATGTACCTATTACCGTTCACTATCAACTTCTCTCTCGCTCTATGTTTTCTGCTCCGTTTTCCAGAATCACATGGTAAATGAACCCTACATTGACCTGAAATGAAGAATTAACAGTTTGAAAAGTTACTTCCCCTTGATGCAAAGTCCACTTTGGGTTGGCCTTTATTCAGCCTATGAAAGTACTTGAGGCATGCCAGATTTTGCATGCAAATGACCCTCCTCAAAAAAAAGTCTTATAACAGCTTTAGCTGAAGTGTCAGCAAATCAACTTTGTACATAACTAGCATCGAGCAACTTGAAATACTACCTAACAGATGCTTATGAGCAGGGCATGACTGCTTCACGCAGCCAACAGTAGCATACAGCCGAGATGCATCCAAGCTCTTGCTCTATTCTGAGTGTTTCAATCTGTGGCCCTGGTTGATTCTTTTGTTGGCAGAGATGCCAAATACGACTCCAGCCCAGTCTGGGGTAAGGAGTATGGCTCAAGGATTTTTTTTTTTTTTTTGGTGGAAGCCCCCAAAGAAACAACGAAGAACCATTTCGCAAAGAAAAGTATGAGAAGAAGATACACAGGTTATGAAAACACAGTAACCAGCGCTATTTTCAAATACATCAGCAGTAGATTCTTGCAGCATGAATCCTCTTTTTCCCCCAAAACGTCTTCTCACAGCCAGTTCTGAGATTAAGTATAGGGATTCCTGCCTGCACTGTGGCTCTCACTGCTCCCCAGTCTGTTCTGTTTATTGGCCAGACAAGGGATGGCCAACTGCTTTTGCACCAAACGTAACAAGAACCAAACTGCAGCATGCGGTTCAGTTTTTTTTTTTTTTTGAGAGGTTATACTGCTTAACGATGAACTATTTGTTAAACCCTCCTGTATAAACACTGCTGTCTTACAGTAGACATAAACAAGGGGGCAGGTATTTGGACTCTGATCTGCACTGGAGTTGGGCCAGGTTTTATGCTCTTCATAGAGCATCTGCGAAGATGCTTCATAAATCGCTTGAGTATTATTTTCTCACACGGCATTGAATAATGGCATTTTTTCTTGCTTGTAAAAGATTCACTTTTCTGAACAGAGCAAATAAGAGCTTTTAAACAAAAAACAGTCCCTACAATTCTATCTCAATTTCTAAATTATTTTCCTGCAAATCCTTCAAAATCTTGGTATTTGAATCATACTGTCCTGCTCTGCAAGGTGTTTACCATCAAGTAAAAATAGCATCCAATTGTTCTAAAGAGCAGATGGCATGTCCGTTACTAGTAAAGACATCTTGCTAAACATATGGTAGGACAGGTTAACTAAAGGGCATAGTGGTTAAAGTCTTGCAGCAAACTGAGACTGTCATAAATACAACACTTCACCTAAACCTAAATTCCAAAGAAACCCTACATGTGAGCACTGCTCACTAATAACACCTAGAGTTGCAAACATTTGTCCACCTATACGTATAAAAAGAGGCAGCAGGGATCTAATACCCCACGAGGACACTGTCTCCTATATTTGCCTTCTGTGTACCAAAGAAAATGGTTCATTCGAATAACTGTATGAAACAACCGCACCCATCCATTAACCAACAATCACAATCAAATCGACAAAAGCGGCCTTTTAGATTTTCTAACTGACTACAATACTGGAAATAAAAACTTAAAGCCTGGATCATTTTTCTAGGATTTATGGTTCCCATGTAAATAGAGAGAACAGACATAATCTCTTTTACTTTGAGCAAGATAACACCAGAAATTACTCAAGCATTTAAGCTATCATATAAAAATCTTAACACACGTGAAAACTTCATACTTAATTAATTTGACAACATCCATCTTTAATACACAAGTGTTGCTGTTTGTCTAATATTGGCATAAACACGAAGTTGCTCTACTAAGGTTAATTAAACTAAGCTGAAATAAAACATATTTAAGACACTACTTAAGAGGAGCCGGAATTGAAGTCAGTAATTTCTTTTCAAATACAGCTTTCCAATGTAATAATCAGAATAACAATTTTATTGTAATTGTTCTTACCAATTGCTGTAGTTAGTACAAACACTTGCTCCACTTTTTTTCCATCATTGTAGAATGCCATATGCCAAGCTCCTTGATCCATATACTCGATGAAACCTGTCTCTTGCAGTGAAGTCAAGATCAGATTCCTGGGAGCTTGCTGAGGCTCCTCTGAGTTTTTTGGTTCCTGTTTAATCAACTGTTTTCCATCCATCAGTTTTACAAAATCAAACTGAAATAATAATGAGCAAAAATTAACCACCTAGCAATTTTTTATGAATCTACTCTGCATGTCTCATGTCTCATTCAAACAGGAATAAAAAGTTGAAATCTTAAAAGAAATTGCCTGACTAAGTATTCACCAATGTGGACAGCAGTTGCATAACCTAGTCTATTTAGCTTCAGTTTCCATATAAAAACTGTTATGGAAGGTCAGAAATCTGGCATCAAAACTTGCTGTTTGCTATGGCAGGGTAAATTCAGACTTGCTGTATTAAATACAGCATTTTTACTTCAAAAATTACAACTCTCTAATGGGAATAATTCCAAAATTATTCCAAGCTGTAGTGCCTACATTATGCAGTGATTCATCGCGAATGCCAAGAACAGATTAAAGAACCTATTGTTCTACACTAGACTTTAAAATATTTGTTCCTTAATATCAGTATCATATATCAAAACTTAAATATATTTTTTATTTATATTTGATTAATGCAAATATGTATCTATTTTTAACATGGACCTTCTTAATACCTAACCAAGTTGATGCTGACAACTTTAAGATCAGTTAACGTCAAAGCATCAAGAAACATATATATTTCTCTAGGGGTTCCTAGGCGTTCTGATTTTCAGTAAAGTTCAACTTCAGCTCAACTGAAGACCCAGCTTCAATTAAAGTCAATGACAGCTAAAAGCACTTATTTCTAAGAACAAAACCCCAGTAAATAATTTTTGAGGTTAGACAAGATGATCTCAGAGGTCCCTTCTAAACAATCTCTCCATGATTGCATACATAAGTTTATCACACTCTATGGAGTGTGATCCTGCTATAAGAAAGCTGAAAAATGTATTACCCGTAGAAACGACAGCTTCATATACCAAATACATTAAGCCAAAGGACAAAAAAAAAAAAAGTTGGACGTGACCAGCAATATTGCATATCCTTACTGGCTAGCTAGGTTTTCTTCTGCAAAATCCCTAGGAGTAAACACTCAAAAATTATCTTTGTATTAGAAACCAGATACAGATACCCCCCGATTCTCTATTAACTCTTCATACTGATTATGTAACCGGTTTGTTTTGACAAAGTTGTAAGAAATTAAACCATTTTCAAATGATCTGGTACTTCCTCCTACTGCCTCTGCAAAGAAGGTGCTGGAGCTACACAGCAGCGCCGTGCGTACCCGTCCAGCCTCCCGGAGAGTCACGTCACAGCGGTCGCAACTGCTGACCGTTCCGGCACAGCCCTGTCCGTTCCCCTGAGGCGGCACGGTTTGAGGGTACGGCTAGACCTCAGTAAAAAAAGGGGTAAACGGACTGCTTTTTGTGGTTACAGCCAGTCCCTTCCTCCCTCCCTGCTTTGAAAGTGTATTGTGAACCTTCGCATCCACTGCCGCTTGAAAACGTAAGCACGAGAGAACTCGTATTGCCGCTAATTACCTGAGTGTGAGTAGGTGGAATGTTTCTTCTGCCGTAAATTCCCAGCAGAGAATCCTTCGCCAGTGAAACGTTAAATTTCAGGTACATGGGGTGATGTATAGTAATCTGAAAGCGCCAGAATAAACCAGGGGGGATCGTCTGCATAACTTGTGCTCCAATCTCAACTTCTCCTGTGTCTATGGCCCGTCCCTTCTGAAACACTAATTTTCCAAAAACAAACAAAACAATCAGTTGCGTATTCACGGTGGGTGAAGATAACAGGTCATGAGGCATCAACGTGACTTAGATATATGGGCATATATTGAAAACAACCTCTAAACAGAAGGCATTTCACTGCGACCACTGCACTTTTTATTCAACTCGTTGAAAAATACAAATAAACTTGCATGCAAGATTTACAACAACGGGCATAACAGAGCATTTTTGCCCTGGAAATCTTGGAATGCTTTAGTGAATATGAAAAGGTAGAAGCGCTGCTGCGCAAACCGCAGTCTTTAGCTATCAGCTATGCAAACGAAACCCGTTCAGCTGAGAACTCAGAGGGAGAAGGCAGCGGGAGAGCTTCCTCTGGCACGTATTTCAGACTACTGCCAAATGGGCATTGCAGAAGCCACACACATGGACACCAGCGAGGACAGAAAATCCATCAAACCTGGTAGGTCGGAGCCCATGTCCAAGCCTAGATTTCTATTAATCACCATTCCTAATGATTTTATTACGGTAGTTATAATCTAGTCCTGGAGAAATAACAAACATCTGTTTTGGCTTGGACTTCCTGCATGAAAGCATAACGGGGGCATGAGGATAGGGACAGGCAATCTGACGAGAAAACTGGCAGAATTTCGTAATACCTAACAATAAATTTGCAGACCTCTACAGTATGTAACTTCATACGCGGGCATGAGAGCGCTGAAATAGGAAAGGAAACGGAATGCATAAAGCTGTCACTGCCAAACTAAATTGGAGCTGGCTTGCTTTGCTGGCTTGTACCACCGTCGTTGTGTATTTCAGTGCCTGTCTGTGATCAGCACCCTGACATGCTGCAAATCACAGCCCCAATCCTGCTAACATCCGAGCTAATTCCATTGTAAGTTTTGCAAAACTCTAATTCACATTTCCATGCTTTCTCTCGCCTAGAAAAAAAGCAGGATAGTATGCTGCGTTGGAGGAAGAGCCAAGAGAAGATTGAATTCAGCAGCCATATCCATTTATGTTTCATCTCATTCCGGTATCACGGTGAAGGATAAAGAGGAGCAATCAAAGTGACGGGAGCCTCACCTTTTACAATAATGCATATAAATATCTAATGCAACATAATGTACATGAAATTTTATAAATTGCCATTGGAAACGAAAACAGCAGTAGCAAAACCAGGGCCAGCTTTTTCCTCAACATATTAATAACAAAGATCCTCAGTGGGATCTTACATAGGCTATAACTAGTGTAGGAAGTACTTAGCATTCTTAATGAATAAAGATTTAATTTACAAAGCAGAAGCAATTCTCAGGGTACTGGATCTTCCAGCTTTACAGCTGTTTTGTGTCACCAAACCTACTGCAAGGACTAGGAGCTGACTTTTAACACCTTATCACATAAAGGCATCTATTTTTAGAGCACAGAACTTGTAATCTAATACTCCAAAAATACACCAGTTACTTAGTTGATGAGTTAAAATACTTCCAAACTGCTGTTTTAACTACGTTCAAGGTGAGACTACTGCTGTCCAATTTGCTTCATGGAAAAAATCTTGAACATTGAGTTTTGAAAAGAGAGTTAAATTCCTATGCTGGGCAATGAAAGTGGATCCCTTCCCACCCCAACCCATACAAAACCCTACTTGGCTGATGTAAATTTAAAAACCTTTTCCCCTATTTCCAGTACTCCAGAGATATTAAATCTTAATGATTCTTTGCAAGCAATTACCCTGGGTTAAGTAAAACACTAAGGAACTTTTTGGTGATATTGACACATGGTAATTAATGTGATTCAATTACAAGACGGTAGAGCGCTAAGTAAAAAGTCAAGGATACAGTATCATTTTTGAAGTTAATGGCATTATTGGTCCGTGTTCAAGGTCCTTTAAAATACAGTAACCGCTGCCTAGTTTGTTGAAGTGAGAAGGCCTGTTTCTTCCTTGGAAATAAAAAGCATTCTGTCTTTAGTCAGGCAGCATTTTCACTAATTCATGTTACCAAATTATCCTGAATACCATGTTAGTGTTGCCAGGCTCAAAACAACGTATCTCTGAGTTTTTCTACATTTGGCTGAAAATGCCTTTGCTTTAGTAATAACGTTATGTAATCGTTAAAAACCAGATGTCCTTAGCTTTACTTTTATTTCATTACAGAGGAAAGAAGTGCATGCTGCTGTTCGTAATGGTAACACGAAAATATATATATTATCTACCACCTACTGAAAGTGTGCGGTTGCAGCATCTCAACCACACAGCATGAGAGGGCTACCGTAAGAGCCATGTCTGAAGTGCCCGTTTTCATAGTCACTGAGCCGCCGTGCTTTCTTTATAGAAGAAGAATTTAGCTCTGTTTCCATGTTTAATTGAACTAAGCAGGTATTTGTCTCTATAAAAAGAGCATCTGAAGGTACACTGCTCACAGACTGTCTTTGTATACTTCCTTGCTCTTTCTTGAAAAAGCCTGAAATAAGCTTTTAAAAATACAGTGCTGCAATACAAGTTCTGTTCTTGTTCTAAAAACATCTTTCTCATACCATTTTTCTTATGACAAAGTATCGTTTAATTATCTATATTCAATTCCTTGTACAGCTCCCAATCTTACCAACTGGTATTAATTCTTCCCTATTCTTTCTAAGCACACTTTCCTTGCAAGTCTGAAACAGAAAATAGATTCCTAATCACAGGTTTCTTTTGGCTTCAAGAAAGGAAAACTCTGAACAGCATGGTGCCAATTATCTTCACGTGAAAAGTACCCATATGCTGATTATTACTGATCCTAAAACGATCAATCTCCTTGTACTCCCCTGGTAAATACCAGCATCAATAGGATGTCTGAGTTTTTAATCACATTACTACGTATTAAAATGTTAACTCATAGCCGTGGGTCAGTGTGTTATAAAATGGCTTCTTAAAGAAATCTGACTTGCTGGTTTGTAAACTTGATTTCCATTAAAAGATCAGTTAAAACATATGCTTTCAAAGTCTGGAAAAAACATTCCGTGCTGCTGCACTAACTTGGGAAAATGGGAGGTCACAATATCTGACAATAGTTAGTTATCCCTGTGAAATCACACCAGAGGTTTCAGGTTTACAGGCGAAGTATCAACTTTCTGGGGTACCCTGCTGTAGTGAAGAGAGTTGCCTGTTTCCAAATCCTCCTTCCCAGCACATCTACACAGAGAATTTGGTATGAGCAGTGGGAATCAAATTACTTATATCTATTAAAAGTGATGGAAAGAAATAAACCCAGCAGAAATTAGCCACAGACAGACTATGCATGTACTCATGCCTGGTACTAAGTCTACATGGTTCTTCTTGTGTTTTCCCAAGTGCACGCTTCTTGTTAGCATGCACCCTGGGTGACAGGTTACCCCCAAAAGGTGAAAGGGGACAGGCAGGACAGCAGTCTAGCTATATTCAAGACTCACCCTTGAAATTGCTGGAAAAGCCCCCAGTGAAGAGGCTCTGCCATCACAGCCCACCATGCCCTAGTGTTGCGGGGGAACTGTGTAGCTACACAGGACGCTGGGGCTGCCTGGGGCAAGGCGGGTGGTTTGGGTTTTTTTACCTACTACATTAAGCCTTATTGGCTCATATATTCCTTTCTCTGTTCTCAAGCACCTGTGTTTTAAGATTTTTCGTGTTTTTCCTGCACATCCTCCTTTGGAAGCCAAATGCTTTGGAAAAGCTTTTATTAAATCTGTAATATATTGACAAAATGATTTAACACAGTTAAGAAGAACTGTTTGAGACATTTTCCATGGTGCACCAGGACAAAAATACAAAAGTGTATATAACATCTACTGCAATTCACTACCAATCCATTCTAAGGGACGAAATAATGGATAACATCATCATCGTCTCCTTACATGTATTTCTATTGCTCATTTATCTCATATGATCTCTATCTAGTTGTGCCACATTGACTGACTATTGATGTGAGATCTAACCTTGCTGCTGGAAGGACTGGTACAATAATGTCCCACCTTGTCTCGTATGTACAGTCATAGATCTTACCTGGTGTACACAAAATCAGATCGCTGCTCTGCCCTAAAATTTGAAAGCTCTGGAAATCTCCTATCATTGCAGAGGTCTTGGTACAATTTTACCTTCCTCCTAACAACTAGAAAGACTAGGTTCATATTCCGCTCCCATTCACTTCTGTCTGATCTAATCTGATTTATCCACTTTTTCTGAGTACCCTAAAAAGAAATTGGAGGGCCACCTGCTTCTTACAGTCAGAAAGCATCACCACGGTGGTCAATGGGAAGCACGGTCCATATTGTAGTAGGCAATTTAACGACATTAAATGACAGAACTTGAGAGGAAGGAATTGCGCGTCTCGGAGACAGTCCCGCTCTCTGTTTCACACTCCTGGCTGCACAGCCCACTCCTTCCCCACGCCAGCTCTGGCACCTCCCTGCCCCTGCAAAAAAGCCGGTTCCGCCACTTACATGGCAGAAGGCTATTTGCATTTTTCAATGAAGCCATTTTCTGCTGCCATAGCGAACTGATGTGTCTTGGTCGCGCAGGAGACAACCGCTGCAGCGGGCACGGGGACGCAGGGAGCTGCCCAGGGAGAGAGCGGGGGCAGAGCAGGACCGTCCCCGCGGCAGCAGGCGTTCCGTGAAACGCCAGCATGTACAGGATGCTGTATTTTAGCTTATGCCTTCAAGAACTGGACGCCTTTAAGAGCATTAAGATTTCTACCCTTCTGCATATTCTGCCGTGTCAGTACAGAGTGTTTCACTTTGCCCGAGACTGACTGCGGTCTGCGAGACAGGCACAGCATCGAGCCCTCGGGAATGAGGCGAACACGGTCTCACCTCCCCTCTCTTAAGACAGAAGCCAAATGCTCTAATCTCTCTCGTCTCACAAAATAAGGGCAATTATTTTGGTATCGAACGTTACCTTCCTAATGGCTTGGGTCGGTTGCTCATTTCAATGAGAGTTCTGGTTACGGGCTTTTGATACCTGCTTTAAAATTATACTAGAGAAGATAGAATTTGAACTTATAGTACTGTCAAACTGTAGCAAATACAGAATCTGAACAGTAGTAACGTTCAAATATTCATAATCTGTCTGTCTTCTCATTCACACATACCTTTTTTTTCCGTTTTATCAGAAACTTTTCCTCCAATTGGTGAGTAAGTAGTACCCATGGATTCTGTTCCTTTATTTCCTTTGCTAACTCCATTTTCATACAGCTGCCCTTCAACAGGCTGTAGTTGCCAGGTTAAACCAAACAAGTGTACTGCTGCAAAAAAAAAGAAGACCAATTAATTGATGCCTACACTACGGCACCTTCAGTCAGACTAAGAAAGACTGCTATGACCCAGTTTCTGCAGAGTCAAGTATTACTTCGTTCTGTTTGTAATAAATCAGAATTTCAAGGGGTCTAATGAGCAATTTACTATTTTACCTTAAAACTCAATGTTTAATTAGTTTCCACACTTTCTTTCGGAGCTCAGCCAGGTCAGGGTGATGAAATTCTATAGCAATTAATGGAAATACTTGCAATTAAAAGGATAACAGTTGAATGAATTTAATATTGTGTGACAGATTCTAATGCTGCTGTTCAATGTTGTCCCTCAGCTTTCAACTGACAAAGAGCTCAGAGCTTGTTGATTAAAGCACTGCCACCAAGTAAAACTTCTCACCTTTCCAACCCAGTTCTAAGTGAAACTGTGCCCACTGCATTCCCAAATTTTTTCACTTTAAACATTAGTAGAAACACTGACTCCGTAGATTTCCTCTAGAATTACACTGCAGATAAAAAAACCTGGCTCTAGATCTAAAATATATGCAATTATTCTACAACACATATTAACAGAAATATAGTTGTTGTTTATGTATGCACTGGGAAATCTACTACATTAATTCTTTAATGAAGTTATATACTATCCTCATTACCATACATAGAGGCTGCCTACTCCACTTGGCCTGCACAGCCATGGACTTTTTCTGCTTTCCTTTCTGTTGTTTCTCATCTGAGGCACTGAAGGATGGTAGGAGAAAGATAACAACAGAAGATCTTATTTTAAGCATAATCTGACTGTATTGCAGTCATTCTAGACAATTACTAGGTCTTACTGAGGAGGGCAAATTCTTCAAAGGAAGAGGTTGCCTTAGCGTTGACGTGACTCAGCAGGGAGAACTGACGACCCACTACAACTTGGACTGAGGATGTCCCCCCCGCAAAGAAGCTGAAATTGTCACCAAACAGCAGAAAGCCCAAGTAGCAGGCTCTTCAGCCACACGCAGCGACTTGCACGGAGCAGGATCTGCCGACAGTGGGAGCCTAAGAGGCAATACATTTGCTCTTCCTGAATCGTGTAGGAACTTCAAAGACTCCCAGGAAAAGTAAGTGTGATCTAGAATGGGTCTTGCATTTAGAAAACATAGTCTTTTCTTTTGCACTTGCACATGCTTTAAGGAAAAAAATCTCAATACAAACGGGAAATCTAGAGCCTACTATTTTCTACGTGTTTGCTCACAAGCCTCCCTGGCATGCTGAAAAGTTAAATTATAAAGCAAAACCCCATGCCTTCAATGGGTTGCTGGCAGGGCTTTAGCAAGACTACCACAGGAATGCAAAGCTGCCAATCTACAATCAGTCATTCCAGATCTGCGCACTCCTGGATCACCCGGCCACAGATACATGATCCAAATCAAGCAAACAAGAGCACTTCTCTCCAATTAGTGAGGTGACAATATTTGTGACACATTTATATTTTTTATATTGGCTTCAGGAGAAGAGCGCCAAATTTAACTGCATTCTGAAACCACTGCTTCACCGTCAGACCTGGGCTCTGGAGGCACGCCACTGGACGGTAAATTCCCACTCCCCAGAAGAGATTCTGGAAGCTTACTCCAGTGTTAGTGGTGAGATCTCAAGCCAGAGACTCGCTTGGATTGCTTCGTATTCCATGGACTTGAAATGGTCAAAGGACCACGCTAATACTTTGAAAAGGGTCTTACAGTCAGATCACAGAGGCCTAAGCTCTCATCTTTGAGCTTAGTAATGCAAGACAGATTACTTCCACATACAGAAAGTACAACAAAAATCAACACGCCTTGACAGCTCTAGAGCGGGGGGCTCCTGCTCCTGGATTCAGCTTCTGGACATTATTATGATTTAAAGCGTTAATAACAACAAAAAGGAACAAACGTCAATGGGATTGATAACTAATGAATGTACATTTCATTTATACTAATGCAAATAGTTATATCAGCACTTGAATCAGATCAACACTAGATGCAAAACGTAACTGCCCACATCAATAAGCTTTTAGTGGTTACAGAATCATGAATATAACCTAGTTGCTTTCTTACGCTATTTCCATTGTTGCTATTATTCATTTCCTAAGACAGCATTTGCATGTGCTGCAGAGGGTACGTCACAAAGCAAGGACTGAATATATAACGCACCTTTTTCCGTACTATACGTCTTTTCCAGATCACATACACTATGCATTTTGTCATCCACTCGCACCGATTTGAATAGTTTGCTTGCTTTGTCTTCCTTCAGGCTGGGGAAATGCTGCTGTTTTTATAGTTCATGCCGAAGCTTGGCAAGCTAGCAAAACTATTTGTACGTATGTTTGACAGCCCGTTTCCTCCCTGAGAAACACCAACTGCCTTGTAGAGATGATTGTCTCTGCCAGCCTTGGACTTCTAGGCCACGGGAGATGACACCGGATGCCGGCAGACCAGCTTCATGTTGAACAATGTGCAAGACTGAGTGTTTCAACACAGAAATAAAAGCACATGGCTATGAAAATAAGGTCTACTTGAATTAAACTGAATCATTTCTATCACTGCACAAACCTGGTCATCTTGCAATCTTAAAATCAATCGGATTTTCATTACATTAGCTACAGCTCTTGAGAAATTACCTTCAGATCCAGGTATCACTCTGATAATAACGAGACCACATATACCAGTAAGCCATTAATTCTTAGCGATACCTTTTTCAGAAGTTAACTACAGGGAATAATAAACGTTTATTTAGCAGACACGGAGCCTTACCTTGCCTCTTCATTTTCTGTGGCACTTTTCTTTTACCTAGGGTATACATAATTCCTACAAAGCTGTGTGTTTCCTACAACATATGTACATCATATTTTAAACATACAGATATTTCACCAAATAAGATTAAATTAAACTTTCAAATTTCTCGCTCTGTCTAATCTCTTCAGAAATATGCAGGTGTGTACTGAATTTCATTAAAAACCTCAAAAGAACGTCTCTTTGGAGTCATTCTCTCTCTGATTTTTCTAGCGGATTCCTGGCTTTTGCTTTTCCCCTTTTACACAAAGGGGCATAGAAAATGCTGTGGGATTCAACAGTGGGCCACAGTGTCATTTCCCACAGCATAAATCCATCTGTAAGATTCTCAGCTGTATTTCCCAGGCGTAGTGCCCAGCTGGAAGACCCTACTCGACAGATCAAGTAGAAGACGACACCACCACTCTGTCCAACCTAGGACCGAGCTGGCTAAAAAGAAGGGAGATTCGCTTTCTGATGAAGGTTTCTGCCCTCTCCTCAGAGTTAGCCTTCCAGACTGCTATTTGCACAGAGACCTCGACTGCAGTACTCCTGGGGGCTGGCTGCTGGCGAACCGTACCAAGTCCCACCGTTATGGCTAAAGACGCGTTACTGGATGTACCTCAAGTTGCCACAGAACACAAAAAGCAGCCTTTGAGGTTTGATGACTACACTGGTATTACAAAAAAACCCCAAAGCTACTTCGCTTCTGCCTACCTGGCACTCCGGAAAAATGCTGCAATCTGGTACCCTGTGTTTTGCAGTGTCCAAAACACCTCGGCTACTGGTAGGGTGCAAAGGCCATTAGCGAGCTGCTACAGTTTCAAGCAAAAACCAAGGACTACCAGGCAAATGGAGATTGAATGGCAGCATTCGTGTGCTTCAGAATTGCAAAATTCATACTTCAAGTCAGGAGGGGCCGCAGCGAGTCACCAGGAGCGTCAGCCCGTAACATCCCCTCATCTGGGCCTAACTGAACCTCTTGCCCACAGACCGAGTGCCAATATTCTCCTTGCTGGTACCAACCGCGCTCCATTACCTGGCACTCCCGAACTTCCAACTGGATTTCTCTGCTTCCTTGGTTCTTCCAGCCTACTGCAAAGCTCATCTGAAAAGATACGCTTTCTTGGCTTGCTTGAACCTCCCGTATATTCCCCCCTCTACCATGACATTACTACTTTGCTCTGTGTTGTTTATGAGTTGCGTTCTGCCACAAGCAGAGTCGTACGTTGCTTTCACTGAGGTGATCTGGAAGCAGGCAAATACATCTGAAGGCAAAATTTGACCTTCTTTACATAATGTCTGGAGATAGCGCTTATATGATGGATGCCACCATACCTAGATTTCATTTATATTTTATTAGATAGCCCTGTTTAATTCAAGGTTTCAGATAAAACTGTAACACAAAAGTGGACATACACCTTTTTTTTTTTAAAACAACATGCCTTGTGGATGTTATTGCAGATGCTAAATTTGGAGGAGTCTGTAGTCAGTGGAGCTAAAGAGACTGGAAGAAGCCACAGGACTATTGTGAAACTAAGCTTCTTCCTCAGTCACCCTGCCCTTGGCAGGCTGCACCGTGGAGCTGCTCAGGGTAACTTTAAATGACCTCTGTCAAACACAGAAGATTCTACTCACAGTTACAGAGCTTTTCTTGACTAACTTATTATGTTTCTTAGGTAAAAAAATAATTATTAAGTATAAAACAGATCTCTTGCAGAAGAAGATAAAGGGGTCTATCTTCTACCCTTCCCATAAATTTTCTTCGCAGAACAGTGACATGAAAAGCTAGTGTGACTTCATGCTGCCTAAGGGATTTTCTCTATCCGGAGGCAGGTTTTTGGTTGCTTCACATTACTAGCGAAAGTGAAACCAGTTGGGTGTTGTCGGAACCAAAGTTTGGGTCTTTACCTCTGAAGCAAATGGCCAGATTGCTCATTTTCTTCAACATTTAAATAAAACAAACTGACAATTCCAGATAAACTAACTCAGTCCCCGCAATTCTGTGGCATACTTGAGTAAATATTCACACATATATGTAAGCATTTTGTTCAGAACTCGCTTTGTAAACTGGATTAACCTGCCATCTGCTACGAAGCCAATGATATAATTTAATTTATTCTTATCTACCTTCTGTGTAAGCACAGCTTGTCAACTCCTGTGCTACACATTTGGCAGAATATGAATAAGAGGCTTGGCTCCAGTGCA